ACACACAACACAGATAGAGGAGAGATGTGGTAAAACCAAGTTTATAAGCGTTTATCTAAAAAACCTCTATCCAGTTTTGTTCGCGGACGGCACACTTGGAAAGACGGACCGCCCGCGTCCTTACCTTTTCCAACTCACGAAGACGTCGAGAATACGACGATGAAGGCCTTGATAGATCGACCCGGAGAAAAGGTTTAGAAAACTTTAACTTCGATATCTCCTAAACGGTTAAGAATAACAGGCTTCGGACAGGTACCAAATTAAAGGCCCTTTCAAAACCCCTACATTTTGGACATCAGATGGCGACCTCCTACTCCCAATAGAAAAGCGGAAGAATATCGATCGAATGAAGGCTGGATATCGACGGAGAAAGGTTAGAAAACTTTAACCTTCGATATCTCCTAAACGGTTAGAGATACAGGCTTCGGACAGGTACCAAATTAAAGCCCTTTCAAAACCCTACATTTTGGACTACATGGTCGACTCTCTACTCCCAGTAGAACCGGAGATATCGACGGATGAAGGCTGGATATCGACGTAGAAAGGTTGGAAAACTTTAACCTTCGATATCTCCTAAACGGTTAGAGATACAGGCTTCGGACAGGTACCAAATTAAAGCCCTTTCAAAACCCTACATTTTGGACTACATGGACGACTCTCTACTCCCAGTAGAAGCGGAGATATCGACAGATGAAGGCTGGATATCGACGGAGAAAGGTTGGAAAACTTTAACCTTCGATATCTCCTAAACGGTTAGAGATACAGGCTTCGGACAGGTACCAAATTAAAGCCCTTTCAAAACCCTACATTTTGGACTACATGGACGACTCTCTACTCCCAGTAGAAGCTGAGATATCGACGGATGAAAGCTGGATATCGACGGAGAAAGGTTGGAAAACTTTAACCTTCGATATCTCCTAAACGGTTAGAGATACAGGCTTCGGACAGGTACCAAATTAAAGCCCTTTCAAAACCCTACATTTTGGACTACATGGACGACTCTCTACTCCCAGTAGAAGCGGAGATATCGACGGAGAAAGGTTGGAAAACTTTAACCTTCGATATCTGCTAAACGGCTTGAGATGCAGGCTTGTGTTTTGGCCAAAGTATAGTCCTGCACAAACCCTATTCTCACCATATATTTCTATCCTCAATTCCAAGTAGGAGCGGAAATATCATTGTTACAAGTTGGAAGTCTTTAACCTTCGATATCTCCTAATCGGTTAAAGATACATGAACGCGATTTTGGTTCGTAAATGGCTCATAGTACAGTTACGTTCTTGTACCACAATATAGTCCTTAATCAACCCTAATCTCAGCTTGAAGCTCGACTTTCAAAATAGCATCGTAGTTCCCCTTAAAAAATGGATGCAGATGGCTCCTTTTCCCAGTGCGGAAAGTCTGTGTCGCTGAAAACGTCATGTTGGCCGCTCGCACGTTCCTCTGTGAGATAAACGTGAACAGTAAAGGCTCGTCTACATTAACTGTAAGAATAAGGCTGTAAGGCTGTAAGCTGTCAGAGAATTAAAATATTTCATTTCGTATCTTGCAACCTTATTGCCATACTCTTACAACTATTGTAGACGAGCCTTAAGTAATGGACCCACTGCAGTCGATTATTTTTGTCATAGTCGACTGTGATTGGTTTATTTCTTACCGCTTATGCTTACTTCTTGTTGCTTAAGGCTCATCTACAATGACTGCAAGTATAAAGTTCTAAGCGTGAGCAGTGAATAATAGACCAACCACAATCGATTATTATAAGAATAATCGATTATGGTTGGTCCATTTCTTACGGCTTACGCTTACAACCTTTTTCTTGCAGCCATTGTAGATGGGCCTTTACTGTCATTGTAGACCACGGTTAAAACGTGGCTGTAAAGTTGTAAACCGTAAGAACTGACCAATTATTGCCGATTATTTTTGTAATAATCGACTGTGATTCGCCAATTCTTACAGCTTACAACTTACGACACGTATTGTAGAATGACCTTAAGGCCCATCTACAATGGCTGCAAGAATAAGGTTGTAAGCGTAAGCAGTAAGACATGGACCAACCATAATCGATTATTCTTATAATAGTCGATTGTGGTTGGTCTATTTCTTACTGCTTAGGGCCAGAGCGCAGACTTCTGCATAACGCATAATACACAACGCATAAGAGAATCAACCCGTCAGAGTTCTTCATTTCTGTCCTGAGGAGGGAAATGAAGAAAACTAATTAGTAATTCTCTTATGTATTGTGTATTATGTGTTATGCAAGAGCCTGTGCTTTTGCCCTTACGCTTAGAACTTTAAGGCCAGAGCACAAACTTCTGCATAACGCATAATACACAACGCATAAGAGAATCAACCAATCAGAGTTCTTCATTTCCCTCAGAACAAAAATAAAGAACTCTGATTGGTTGATTCTCTTATGCGTTGTGTATTATGCGTTATGCAGAAGTCTGTGCTCTAGCCCTTATTCTTGCAGCCATTGGCTGCGTTCCGATATTCACTGCCAGTACTGAAAATCTATAATATATGTGACATAAAGTATATATTTTCAATACTGGCAGTGAATATCGAAACGCAGCCATTGTAAATGGGCCTTTACAGCTAATGTAGACGAGCCTGTATGTCTAAAATAGTGAAAGAGAGAAAAAGAGAAAATATTGGAGCCGTAGATTTATTTGTAAGTCTGTAACATATAAATTGTTGTTATATTAATGTAATTGTTTAGATTAATGCAAATTGAATACTAAGCGATCGGCAATATCCAAAAGCCATTTGGTGATTGCATAGGTACGAAGTACGAATGTGATATCGTTATATTAACCCACACCCGAGTACGGTACAATTATATGCAGTCGTGTTTAGTCGTATGTGGCCACGTGTTTTGTCACTTCATTATTTCATGTATTTGTCAAATGTTTTTTTTTTTAGAGAATTCGATTGATTAGAAATTTGCTCTTCTCGCGATTTACTTGGTATAGCACGGAAACATCGTAAGATATTGAATGTTTCGCTACTCCGGCATGGTTCTAATATCTAGATTCAGAGATAAAGCGAATCGATACTTTTAAATAGTGTTTTTGTAGCGATGTTTGTAAATGGATAATCTATCTTATGATTTATGAAGTATTTGTTCATAATCTATAGATGGATTTATTTTCCTTCAATTTGTCTTAAATTGCTATAAATTAAGTTGCTTTAATATAACATAATATGATGGTAGTTATAATATGATGGTAATATAACATAATATGATGGTAGTTTATATTATGTGATTTTGAACTTGTTTCTTCAGTTTAGTATTTATATATAGTATTTATATTGTAATTCATACATTTTGGAAATATTAATAGAATTATTTTCAGTGATATAAAAAGGAGAATTATATTGACCAATTTGTTGACTCTTTTTGCCCTAATATTATTAAAATTCATTGCATACAGGAAAACATAAACTATAAGAAATTTGACTCACCAATTGATTATTTTCCTTATGATCCAGGAATATTCTATATGACTGATTAATTTTCTTATTGTTCATGTCTGAACACATATTTTTATATGTGCTATGGATGTAAAAGATTCTTTTTGTTTTTCAAGTAAACAATGGAAGATAAAGGTGAATTTGAGGATATGGTGGTAACAACCACTAATACATTGCCAGTTATTATGATGACAGAATTGCCAGAAATTAAATTATTCGGACGCTGGAACTGTGATGATGTCCAAGTAAATGATATGTCTTTGCAAGATTATATTGCTGTTAAAGAAAAAAATGCAAAATATCTTCCACACTCAGCTGGACGTTATGCAGCAAAGCGCTTTCGAAAAGCACAATGTCCTATTGTTGAGCGTCTAACAAATTCTCTTATGATGCATGGCAGAAATAATGGAAAAAAGTTAATGGCTGTAAGGATTGTAAAACATGCTTTTGAAATTATTCACCTTCTTACTGGAGAGAACCCTTTACAGGTAAGTTTATTAGCTATTCTAAATCTATTTTTTATATTTAAATTCAGAACTTTATGAATAGTTACATATTAGAGAATTTAAATTAATCTAATACCAGAATTTATTGTACAAAAGTATATAATTTTGTTTTTTTTTTATATTCTTAATAAATTTGTAACAAATTTGTACTTGCCTATTTGATTTTATTATATAACATCATTCTTAAATTAAATGTTTATGTTGCAGGTTCTTGTCACAGCTATTATAAACTCAGGACCAAGAGAAGACTCCACTCGGATTGGTCGCGCTGGTACAGTTAGAAGGCAAGCAGTAGACGTATCACCATTACGTCGAGTTAATCAAGCTATTTGGTTATTATGTACGGGCGCCAGGGAAGCTGCGTTCCGAAACATAAAGACAATTGGTGAATGCTTAGCCGATGAACTTATCAATGCAGCTAAAGGTTCATCCAATTCATATGCAATTAAGAAGAAGGACGAGTTGGAACGCGTTGCTAAGTCCAACCGATAAAATCCCTCATTATGTACATATATGCGAAAAATTAAATAAATATATCTCATTAATTAATTTAATAATCTTAAAAAATATTTAAAAAATTTTATATTTCTAAATTATTCTCTTTATCGTACGGTAAAATATTTACCCGTTCTAAAACTTAAGAAAATATAAAAGTTTGACCAATTTTACATAATTTTGGCTGCATATATTTTAAAATCGTTTTTTAATCGGTTTTTAATCGTTTAAAATTGAGGTATATATCCTAAGATATATACGGCACATGACAAGTTCGAATATCTAAAATTAAAAAATTAAAAAAGTTAATAGATTACGTTATCTACTCATGTCAACATAATTGTCATTTTACAAAAAATATAATTCATACAAAATTTATATACTTGATAGACACGATTTAATTATCATGTGCAGTGCAGACGATATGAAAGAATGGTATAAAAATAGCAGTAACCAAATTAAAAGTGTATAATAAGAAAAATCTTAGCTCGAATATATTGCATATGTTTAGTATGATAATAGTAAAGTAGTAATAAAGAAGCAAATAGTTTATAGATATTATATTAGATAGTGCTGCTATTATTTGCAAGAAAATTGACTAATCAAAATTGATTATTCTCTTTGTGGCCCAAAAATATTCAAATATGATTATTTAATTTGTTGTTTACATCTTACTGCTTAAGTTTTTTATGTGCCCGAGTCTTTAGGACCTTTCATATTTATTTGAGTTTCACGGGCTTTATTCTTCGTCGGTACTTCGACCTCGATTTATTGCTGGTAACAGGTGACTCGTAACGGAGACTTTGGAACTAACGACAGCCGATCTGTTTCATCGGTTGGACACTTCGTGTTCGTAGCAAGTGAGTACTTTGAGGTTAAAATTCTTGTAGAGTGAAGTCTTGTATGAAACAAGTGTTAGGTAATATTTCTAACAATGGCAGGTGTTCTCAAGAAGGTAATTGTATACGTGTAGACACGTGTAGACGTGTAGACTATTTACTTATTTAAAATATTAACTGTTATTAGGATTTACGTTGAATATTTTTATCCTTATATAAATAACTCTGTTATGAAAATCCGGAATTTATTTCTTTTCATGTTTCTTTGCTTATAGACCACACGTTTAACAGGACTGGCTGTGTGCAAAACTCCTCATGAGGATATAATTCCGATATATAATAAACTTCTGAAATTGTTAGAGAAGTTTCCGCAGGATTATACTTATCGGACAGAAACAGAGAAACTCGTCAAAAACAGATTGGACATTGTGCAGAAAGTAAGAACAAAGTGTACTATTGCAACAACATTCATATGGTCTGTTCTTTGTAGCTGCATTGTTGAGCTGGTGCAATAAGTTAAAGTGAGATAAATATAGGTTTTCTCACTCTAGTTTATTGCACCACTTCAGCAGTGCAGCTACAAAGAACAGACCAATAATTTCAATCATTTAACAAAATATGATATTTTATAGAACACCAACATATTAACTATAGAAGAAAAGATAGGCTGTGGACAATTCGAAGAAATTTTAATACAAGCCAAAAGCGAAGTATCATTAGCACAGAAAATGCTAGAATGGAAACCTTGGGAGAAATTAATACAGGAGGCACCAGCCAATCAGTGGACATGGCCGCCACATAAGTAAATTTAATTATAGATGTTTGTATATAGTATTTAACACTGATATCAGTGCAAATGAATTGTAATTAGTTTAGTATTCAAGAATATGATATATCTCAATATGGTATGCTGTTGGTTAATAAATATTTCCTGCAAATTTACCATATTTTTAGTCTTATAGATAAGTAAAGCTTCAATAAAATTGAGATATCGTATATCACTTAATCCTATATATTGATAAATATAATTTCACTGAATGACTGCAATCATCTGTCAGAATAACATTCTTACTAGGATTTTTTTTTCTTTTTTCGTATTTTTACACGAGTCAAAGCGCTGTGGTGGACGTTCGTCGATTCGTTATCGTTATCATAAAAGTACAGCTTGATCGATTCAACATGACAATTTTCTCCATGCGATTCCGTATGGCCGCGAGGCACATAGCACCTGCGCTTTCACACACTTGATAGGATTAGTACGAAACGAGGTCCATCGCGAGGATAATTCCCAAGTGTAACCAATTACGATTTAGCTCAGCGATCCAAGGTCGCCGATGCCATATGACGCGGTCTCGCTATGCCATTACGTTACACGTGAACATTCGATTAATCACAAGTGTCTCGTATGATTTATATATTTTTCTAATTGACCAGGCGCGTATGCACACGATCTGATGAACTCAAATTTACTATGAATTCTATTCAAATTTTATAGATTTCTGCTGTGATATGTGTACGCTGTACGATAGAACACGACAGATTTTCATCCGAGATGTCTGAAATTTCATCAGCGAGTTTGTATAGGATAATCAGATCATATTTCTACGCGTGTTTTATTTCCCGCACTTTCGCGAATTGAACGCGAATTTCGTAATCGCGCGTGCCATTGGGTTTTTTACCCGATTATTACTGTACGGTAATATCGTACTTTGCTTCACATTCCTTTTCTTATATTAATGTATTCCGGCCGTAATAAACCGGATGTCTGTACCTCGATACCGCGGTGGGTCCGTCCGAATCGTTTCTCGTCGCTCGTTCGACCAATCATGATTGGATCCCGCGCGCGGCTAAGTGCACCAACGAAAAAACGAGCCGATCGAGCGCGGGCTCGAGGCACCATAATTTCGTGATCGTCCGCCGAAACCTGACGCCGCGGTCCCTCTCTGATCGAGAAGCGCGTGTTGTACTCAAGTTTATGCTCGTGTACGATTATTAGATTTTCGAGCTTACTTGTAAACCAGCCAGGTTAACGACGTGCGGACAATTTAAACTCGAATTCGATTGAAAGTGACATGTACTCTTGTTGAATTGTATCGGCCGTCTCGTCACCAATTGCGCCAATGACAATTTTCAAAATTTCGAAATCTCCAGAGTTCGATAAGAATGAAATTAAAAAGTTAGTTGAGACACTCATTTAAATATCCAAATCGGATAGAATATTTTCTAGATTGAATTCTTATGATCTTGCTTTCATTTCAACTTGGAGTTGCAAATACACAATTATTTACTGAAGATTATTGATAATATTATTATTATTAATTATTATTATTATTATTATTATTATTATTTAAACATTATAAGGGACCAATAAAGAGGTGTTTCGTGGAAATATCGTCAGACACATACAGGTGGTACAAATTTGTAGATTCTCCCAAGACACGCCGAATTTCTGAGAAATTCGCATTCGGCTACTTTAATATACCTTATTTAATGTTGTCAAAGAGAGATACCGGGCATGAATAAAAATTGAGAATAAGGTTGGAAACAAAGTCTTCCGCCAATTGGACGACGCGCGATATCTCTGGAATCCGATTGGGATTGGGCGCGACGTGAACGCAGCTCATCAGAGCCGCTTCCCGCGGAAGAGCGTCGTCCTTGCGTCCCCTTTAAAAAGCCGTGGCGACGGCGGCGGCGGCGACGGCAGCGCGGCGCGGAAGACGGACCCCCGAGGGGTGGATAGAAGAGAAAAGCGAAATGGAAAAAGGTATACCGTTCTCCGGCGGAGGTAAACGAGCGGCATGGGCGCGGGTGGGAGAGCAAGAGCCGCGTTGCGCTCGCTCGCTCGTTTGCCTCCTCCTCGGGGTCCCGATTCCGTGCCGCGGTGAAGGCTCGCTAGGCTCGCGCGCGGCTCTCGCACTCGCCCGCGAGACGCCGAGCGACAAGCAGCGGCAAGGTAGGAAGCAAGAGAGAGCGGCACGAAGCGGCAGCGTCCACGCAGCACGCGTCATCGCGCGTCCCGTCGTCTCCCCTTCCGCCCTCTGGCTCGGACGATGTAAACACGGCGGCCGCAGTTCGGCAGCAGGTGGTTGCAGGTGCAGAACGCGGTGTTACGTCGCTCACACGCTCCTACGTGGTGCGACACGTAGCACTACCAAAGGACGCCCGGTTCCCCTGGGGAAGTCGAATTGCGTCGCGTCCGTGCCGCCGCGGCGATCGACAGTGATCGTGACACAGTGCATGACATCCGCTCGTTCCCCGCGTTCTAGAGATCGCGACACGACAGTGCGTTATTATATACCGTTCTTCAGTCTGCGGACGGTGCAGTGATCTCTCGTGCCGGCCTGGGTCCGCGGGTTCGATTGTGTCGGATCGAGAGGAAGAGGGAGGTGGAACCAGAGAGACAGAGAGACAGATAGAAAGACAGAGAAAGAGACAGAAATAGAGAGACAACTCGCCGGTGTCGTGGGAAACGGAGCAACGCCGCGGATTTATCGGTGAGTATTAATTTTGTATTTCCCGGATCGCGGACAGCGATATATCAGCGAGAAAGAGAGAGAGAGAGAGAGAGAGAGAGAGAGAGAGAGAGAGAGAGAGAGAGAGAGAGAGAGAGAGGAGAAACACTTCTCTTCCGGGTTCGGCTTCGCGGTACTTCGGATTTTGGTTTCGACGCGTTTGCGCGCGGATAATGTCGCGCGACGCATATGCGTAGTATACACATAGCGTACTTTAACATTAAGGACCATCGCACACAAAATAGGGAGTTTTTGCAACACCGTCTCTCAGATACGGTAAACGTTGACTGTGAATGCCACTGCGGCGCGATTCTTTAACTCGTTATTGGAGTTAACGACACTTTTGTTATCGTTGCGCAGCTTTTGTATATCGTAGAAAAGCTGCGCAACGATAACGAAACTCGTTAACTCCAATAACGAGTTAAAAAATCGCACCACTGGTCGCGTAAATGGCGACGTTATTTCTGAACGAATAACGTTCAAGATTTACGTTTACCATATCCGAGAGACGGTATTGCAAAAATTTCCTAATGACATAGATGCATATGCATAGCGTAAGCCCGCCTCGACCAACGAGCATCTAGGAAAAAGTTGCCATATTGATTTATAGAGCATAACATAACTTTTTTTCTAGACGTTCATTGGTCGAGACGATCTTATGATGTGCATATGCATCTATGTCACTTTGTGCGCGATGGCCCTACGCATGTCGCGCTGCCATCTTCGCATTGATCGGTCGAAATCGTTCGAATTTGAACTCGGACACGCGGGTGTGAAATTCCTCCGTCGTGCAAATTGGGAGGCGATTTCGAATGGACAAATTGTGGAATCGAGATCGTGTCGTCGAGCTGCTGAGCTTTCCGGACGTCTCGGTGAGTCTCTAGTCAACAGTCTTAGATAATTAACCTCAAAATTGAGACAGTTCGCTCGGAATTGGCTGTTCTTTTTCGAAGAACCAACGCACGCTTTCGCAGCTGAGAAAGAAACAGTTGTACAGTCGAGACTCGCTGAAAAATGAAAGAAAGAGAGAACTAGCGCAAGGTAATGCAAGGAATGCTGCGGAAAAAAACAGACCAATTGTCTGATCAGCTCGACTTGACCACTTTAGGCTCAGCCTAGTTTGACTTAGAATTAGTTCGTCGTCTCGCAACGGCGACTGTTGTCGCGTCGACGTGTCGTTCGAGAGAGAAGGAAGGGTAACGATGCGTCGAGTAATTCGATTCCGAACGATACGAGGGAATCACGAGCATGTCGCGAAACTACGTGTTCGTACGCACGCACGCACGCACGCACGCACGTGTAGCGCGTCCGTTGGCACAACGAGAGGCGGCTTGCATGCCCTATTTCCATTGGTCGTACCTCTCGTTACATGGTCCCGTGCACGTGTGCGTGCACGAGCGACGGTGGCACAGGTGGTATCCATGAGAGCGACGGCACGTCGCCGTGGGTCCGCCGCGATTAGAGCTTTTCGACTGTCTCGCTCGCGTGACGTTGGCCTGCTTTCGAAACATCGGCCGCCTCTGCGCCGCGTACGAGGGAGATACGCATTCTCACGCGGCTAATTTCTATCGGACACGTCAATCATCAGAGGCCATTAGGCTCGCTTTTATATTGACGTCTCGGGACGTATCACACTGACAGAGAATGTTGCGTCTTACGCCTCGGAATTACTCTTCCGTCTGAATTACTCTCGCACATCGCTCGCGCGAGGAAGACTGCGAGCCGAGTCGGCCTCTCTCTTTCTCTCTCTCTCTCTCTCTCTTTCGCGCGCGCGCTCTCGTTCTTGCTTCCTCAACGCGTCGGACAGGCGCGCTTGTCGATGATGGACTATCACGGGTTTTTTAGTCGTCCGCTCAGCTTTGATTGATTGCATGGTAAACAGAGGGGAGGATCGGGGAGGCGGAAAGGCGAGACACGAAGTATGTAATGCGAAAAGAGGGGAGAGGCGGGGCATACGCGGGAGCGAGATGAATAGTAGCTGCGATGCGAGAGTCCCGCGAGAGAGTCTACGTTTTTCCGCGATTCGTTGATCGCTCCTGATCGTCGGCTGTAAATTCCGAAACGCGATCGACTGGCTGTGGTCCATCGGCTGTCCGCGTTTAGTTACGTAGCTGCACGCTCGTTACAGCGCAGCCCGTTCGTGCGCGTCCTGCACGCATAGCACGCACGCGATGCCGCCGCCGCCGCACGTGTGTGCGTGAGAGAGCGCGCGCAAAGTTACGGAATGCGCCGGAGAATTTTCATTGCGCGCGGTCTTGATTTTTTCTTGCTGCGCCAGTAGCATCGCCGTGGTGAAAATAGTTGTTTACCTATAATAATTCCCCGGGTGATCAACCTCTGAGGCGGTTATTGCGACCATTCGCGTTATGGGAATGCGCGTCTGATTATCGTCGTGATTTACGGGCCTTAAAACGTGGGAAAGCCGGCGCTTTTTACACCGTACTAAATTTTTATTCATTCACTAGGCTAACGACCGTCTCGGCTCCCCGACGAATCCTTCGCCGAAAAAAGGCAAAGGAAAGAGGGAACGAGAAAGAAATATTCGCAACCAAGGTTACCGCGTTCAGCACTATTCTCGCAAGTTCGATAGAACGTTTTTTTCCGACTTTAGAGAAGCACGGCTGGAGGCAATTAATCCTCCGGTAGTTGAGAACCATTACGAACGGGTTTCTCTCTCTCTCTCTCTCTCTCTCTCTCTCTCTCTCTCTCCCCCTCCCTCCCTCCCTCCCTCCCTCCTTTCCTCCCTCTCTCCCTCCTCTCATTTTATCTATCTCTCATGAATAACCATTGTAGTAGTGCAAGATCGCTGCTCCGCAAGAAATTCCCCGGCAACTTCTTGTGCGATCGATCTTAACTTCTGTTGCTGTGTAAGCGTCCTGTATGTTATCGTATCTGGCAGTCGAGTGTGAAAAGGATCAACGACTGTTAATTCGCGCGAGACGGGACTCACGCCTACGACGTGAAATTCGTGTCCACTGCGTATCTGGTGCAAAATTATCCGGACATGTCGCAAGGCGCGTCGAATCGGCAATATCAGCGCGTGCGAAATCTCGTGACGGCGGTTTCAATTCGGTCGAGAGGCAAAGGACGAATAGATCGGCGCGTATACCCTCTCTCCTCTCGAAGAGCGCAGGAGCGAACAGAACGCGCGGCCATGTCCAGATAGAAAAAAAAGGAGCCGCAGTCGCGGCGGTTCGCACTCGCGCTCGCTCGCGCGCGGGCGATATTCTAAGGCGGAAAACAATGCCGACGTAGACGAGCATCTTTCCGCTTGCACCCAAACACAATGCGCGATTTTTACGAGCGCCGGCGCACGAGGAGAGACGCGCGCGCTCGCGCGCGTTATGGCCCCCTCGGTATAACCGAACGAGGAGCGGCTGAAAAATTTCACGCCGGCAATATCCTCGATACAAGATTCCCCATGGCCGGACGGCTCGCGGCTCGCCTATAAACGTCGCATTCTCTGCCGCGGACACGCGACTTACTGCATTTCGGTGTCCCTCGTTTCCTCGCGCGCGTCGCATTCTGCGAGCTTTTCATTCCGCGTTTGTTATTCGTACTCGTGGCTGTGATAAATTACCTCGAAACACGCGCACGCGCCTGGAAACAGGTGGTCTCTCGTAAATTTCTTTCGGGCAATCGGCTTCTCTTGCTTCTCTATTATTCTCTCATTTACGCGAACATTATCACATACACCGTTTGGCGTCCTTTGACGCCCAAGCCCTCGCGAATCAAGTCGCTTGAGAGCGAAGGGGCAGGGAAGTTTGGCGAAACCGTCGCGTCGTATCGTCGGAGCGGTGATTTTCGGCCGGAGCCGCAAATCCACCTCGATTATTCGGCGGAACCGCGCCTCGGAAACGACGTGGTAACTCTCGCGGATCTCTCTGCAATCTCTGGCCGACGGAGTATGGAAAATGACCGCGGAAAGATAGCTCCTCTGCATTGTAACGTTAACGTGCCGTGACGTTGCCCCGTTAGAGCACTCTAGGTGGCCTGGCATCGCGCCCGCGTCGATCGTGAACTTTATTTACACTCTGTCGTGCCGAATCCGACGCAGTCGCCCTCCGCATCTCTGCGCTCCGCTCGCGACCGCGATAGTCATCTTTCACGGTGTTACGGTACTCGCCGTGCTCTCGCACCGAAAACTGTATTTTCCCCTTCCTCCTCCTCCTCCTCCTCCTCCTCCTCCTCCTCCTCCTCCCGTCGCTCCCGAAAAATCCCATTATTCTCGTCCGTGATGTCCCTCTCGCACCTCGCCTAATTTAGCAGACGAGTTAATGAGGTGTGATGCACAGAGCGATGCCGGCAACATCCCGCCGTCGGCTCGAAAAGCGCGAACGGTCGAAATTTCGGCCCTGTCGGCTCTGCAAATTAACCCTGTGTGAATCGAATTTTCGAGAAACCGACGTTTCTCGTAGAGAGACGTTTCCGGTTTTAACGGACGTTCAATGACCGACGAAGAAGATACACCCGCGGCGAAGTATAAGCTAATCTTTACAGTCTGTCGCCATTTAGCAAGTTTTACCTCGACGATCATAAGTCTCGGACTGTTTGTTGACCTGTACGTGTACTTACTTCGCACAACGAGAAATATTGTCGAGTCGAACAGCAGAGTAACGGTTCATTAATACGAACTTGTAATTAGCTACGACTCGGGGTATGCTTTCTTCAAGCGTGTAATCCACCTTATTTCACTTCGATCACGCTGATATTTTATCGCGAGGGTTGCATAATTTCGCGTCTCGCATGGGAGCAATATGATTATTCCCGCTGTATCAAAGTTTGCGCATTCCTGAGAGACATCGTAAATCCAGATAGCGTGAGTCAATACGATAAATCTGATACGTGAGATAACCACGCGCTATACGCGCGCATTCGCATTCGCGCGATTATACGTGCCGATTAACGTCAGAATTAAACAGACACGTGAGGAGAAACGCGACGGCGCGCGCTGCGCATATACAGGGAGAGAGAGAGAGAGA